TCAGATCCTGCAGGAGCTGCACTGACTGGAAACACAGTGACTTTGACCTGTCGCATGAATCTAACCAGAGACTGGGACATTTACTGGTACAAACACACACTGAACCCCGAGACAGAGAAGACACAAACACACTCCTACAGCCTGAAGATTGATTCAGTGTCTGATGGAGGCCAGTACTGGTGTAGAGCTGGAAGAGGGAAACCAGTCTATTACACACAATACAGTGATGCACTGTGGGTAAATGTTACAGGTGAGAGAGACTGTAGTGTGTGATGCAACAAATACAGATCAGAGACAATATCTACACAACTTCTGAAACTATAAATGCAATAATCTGTGTTTGTAGTGTTTCCTAAAGCTGTGGTGACGGTACGACCTGATGAACGAGTGTTTAGAGGAGAAACAGTCACTCTCAGATGTGATATAAAGTGGGCAGGAGACACTGAGTGGACATACAGATGGGATGTAAATGCAACCAACAACTGGGATATAAACTCTGCCAGTCGAACCTCAACACAAGAGTTGATCATCAGCAGTGTTAATCTCTCTCACAGCGGTGAATACACCTGTACAGGACTGATACACACTCTCAGCTCTCAGCGCAGTGATGGAGTTACACTGACGGTCTCAGGTGAGTGTGTGTGTGTGTGTGTGTGTGTGTTGCGATCAGCTTCTCCATCAGTTTCTCCACGGCTCTGTAACTCGTGATGTTTTGTTCAGCTGAAGCTCAGGCATCACTGCGAGTGTCTCCACAGCCGTGGCTGACTGAAGGAGAATCAGTGACTCTGATCTGTGAGGTTTCAGGCTCCTCTACAGGCTGGACGTTCAGCTGGTTCAGAGATCATGATCATCTGTCAGACAGCAGCAGAGGAGCTGGAGGATCTTACACTCTCAGTCCTGCTGCTCTACAGCACACAGGAGTTTATACGTGCAGAGCAGAGAGAGGACGACCAGCCTATTACACACACAACAGCAGCTCACACACACTGTGGCTCACTGGTGAGGGTTTCTGCTTGTGCTCATCCGCATCTGTGTTTCACTGCAGTCTCTGTGCTGTCAGTTCTGATGGAGATTTTCCTCTTTTCAGGAGTTTCTGCTTCAGTGTCTCTGGTCATCGATCCCAGCAGAAGTCAACACTTCTCATCTCAGTCTCTCTCTCTGAGCTGTGTGGATCAGAGTAACTCTGCTGGATGGACAGTGAGAAGATACACAGACACACACACACAAACCTGTGCCAAACAAACAGGATCTCGATGTGTAATCGACTCTCTCAGCACATCTGACTCTGGAGTGTACTGGTGTGAGTCTGAATCTGGAGAGAAACGCCGTCCTCGAAACATCACTGTACACGGTGAGTCCAACCACTCACAACTATATAACAATGAACAACAATCTGTTCAAGACTAAAAATATTATAAAAATATCAAGATTTTAACTCTATAATATAATAAAATAAAATACACTACATTATAATTAAGTGTATGATTTTATATATATATATATTGTTACTGTACTTCATTTTATTTTGATTCTCAATTGTTTTAATTATTTACTGTATTTTATTTTTATTATTATGATTTTTTTTATTCTAAACTGTTTTAATTATTCTGATTTCCTTTGATTATTTTAATTTCTTCCATGTAAAGAACTTTGAATTGCCACTGTGTATGAAATGTGCTATAGAAATAAACTTGCCTTGCCTATATATATATATATATATATATATATATATATATATATATATCCTGTAACCCTTGTGAACATGTGAATATAATGTCATTTATTCCTGTGATCAAAGCTGAATTTCCAGCATCATTACTCCAGTTTTCAGTGTCACGTGATCCTTCAGAAATCCTTAAGAAACATTTCTGATTATTACCAATGTTGAAAATATTTCAATATTTTTTGTGGATTTTTTTTTCTTTGATGAATAGAGACTTTGAAGTACATAATTTATTTGAAATTTCAACATTTTGTAACATTATAAATGTCTTTTTTGATCAATGCGTCACATTTAATAGTGAATCCCTGCTGAATAAAAGTGTCAGTTTCCCAGATTAATGATAGTGAACATTTTGGCCCTCCACATCAATAATTGAAATATGGGTCTGATTAATACATTATCATCACTACATCATCAGTACATCAGTATCATCAGTACAGTATCATCACTACATCATCAGTACATCAGTATCATCAGTACAGTATCATCACTAGCAGCTGTTGATGTGTGTCTCGTGTTTGTAGACGGTGAGGTGATTCTGGAGAGTTCTGTTGATCCTGTGATTGAGGGAGAGACTCTGACTCTACACTGTTTACATCGATCTACAAACTCCTCGATCTCCAGCGCTGATTTCTATAAAGACGGATCACTGATCCAGAATCAGACGACAGGAGAGATGAGCATCACTACTGTCTCAAAGTCACATGAGGGTTTCTACTCCTGTAAAACAGAGAGAGGACAGTCTCTCCACAGCTGGATCTCAGTTACTGAAGCCTTTAATGGTGAGATGATTTAATGAGAAACGCCACACCATTATTATATACTATTATATAGTCTCTAGCTCTTATTTCTGTCAATAAGTGTATTCTTCTTCTGTGTACAATTATTATAAATACCAGTTTATGCAGTTTAATTATGGCGTTTACACTATCAGCTCGACTGGCCGTTTCTAGCCCTCGCTCGCACTGGCTCCACAGTGGAAATGCGGATAATGATTTCTGACTGGCATAAAACTGTACAAATCAAACAAAATAAACGGGTAAAGGTAGAGACCAGTTTAAGGAGCTGTATGTAAGAAATTTATTTCAAATAATCATAAAATGGCCCTGATATGTCACTAGACATTAAGACATAATGTTCATTTCAAATATTATATCACTGACAACTGTAGTCCGGCCAGGATATTGTCATTTAAAAAGTGAAGTTGCAGCCTTCAACTGATGTTGATGATGTCATGTTGTGTTTTGATGTGATGCTCCTCCCTCCACCGATCTACCAATCACGGAGTCAGTAGTGTTGCAGCATTCACGCACAAAACTTTGTAGGCTAATAATGTTCTTGTGTTTCTGTTTTCCAGATCAGATTTCTGTCTACAAAATCCTCAGTTTTCTTCTGGCAGCTTCTCCGTATCTGTTAGCGACAGTCGTGCTGCTTTTCAAATGTTACAGAGCGAGAGGTAAAACTTCTCTCTCTCTCTCTCTCTCTCTCTCTCTCTCTCTCTCTCTCACACACAAATTATTCACATATTCTCACTGACAGAAATGCCTTTTCTGCCTGTCTTAGTATTAGTTCTATATTTTGAACGGATGATGGTCATTCATGAAAGCAATAACTGCAGTGGAAAATAATATTATTTTTTTTTTTTTTAAATAAGACGTCCGTTTAAATGTTGAAAATGTTTTTTGTGTGTATTTCACAGTTTCATCTGCTGAAGACCAAAGTCAGTACGCCGTATCAGAGGAATAAACTTTTTGACAGAACTGATTCTTGCGATTGTAATTTAATGTGGAATGTACATTTGTGATACAAACAAAGGCTATTGGGGTATTTTTGCAGGGAATAAACGAGCCTGACGAAAGACTTTTTATGTTTTCGTAAACGAGACCCTTATCATCTCCCTGTAAATACAAAAATGCTCATTTGAAAATGGTGACGACATGCACATGCGTATGACGTGTTCATTCTTTTGGCTTTTTTTTAAATGAAAGGTTCATTTCAACAGACTCAAGGATGATAGATTTTTTCGAAGCCCTTGTGTTCAAAGGTTTTGACATTTTCTTAAAGGAAGTAAAAGTGGCTTTATATCAGAGGAGATCATTCTGATATTGGGATTACTGTGAACATTTCTGGCTTTATAAAGAGGAAATTTACCCAGAAAACAAAGTAATATTACAGTATTATCAAGATGAACATCCTTAGAATGGAAATCGGACAAAAAAAGACATGATATATTCTGTAATTTGTGTCTTTAGGCCTGTGTGCGCAGCTCGAGTGAACTACAGTAAAATAGTGTGTGTGTGCAGTGCCGTATAGTCTTCATTTACAAAGTCACTTCGCCACTGTATGTATGCTTACGTATCGCTGCTTTTCCAGAAAAAACAGCACTCTTGCTCTTAACTCTTATTTCTTACCTTTATCATTATAAATATACAAATCAGGAACTCATTAGTGAGGCATTCACCCAATGTAGGCTATTGATTTCATTATAAAAATAATATTGTGTTTATAAACCTTTGAAAACTATATATTTCATAACCATAAACTGTAATAAAAAAAAATAATAATAATGTTGTGTGGTGTTTTTCATAGCTGAACTCTGCTGGAAAGTGGATCTCGAGGGCCAGAGTTGCTCACTGGTTTATAATGTAACATCAATGCTATTTTTGGGGCTAAAACTAAAATGATGAAGATTATAGATAAGAGATAGGATCTTAAAAGAGTCTCTGTGTTCTCTGATCAGACAGCCGTGCTGCTAAACACATTAAAGCTCGTGTGAGGGATGATATTTTATCTGAATACTGGAACAGGCTTAAAGCACTAAAGCATTTTTACATAATAAATAATGCAACCAAAATGTTACAGAAAATATTAAACATTTATCGTGCTGAGAGTTGCTTCAAATCAATTTGTTTATCTTTGTTCATATATCCATGAATATAATTGTAAATAATAATAATAAATGATATAAAAAAAAAAAAGAGTATAACCTACATATCGCTACTCGGCTATTCTGGAAAACACAATGGAAAATGTAAAAAATTCGTTGATAAAAACACTTTTATATTATAGCAAAAACATAAAAAAAAAATCAAACACTTATAAGTCGATTTTTGATGAATTTGGCATGAATTCTAGTCTGAGAGTTTAAAACCAGCCATAAAAGTCTTACCAGAACACCTTATTGTTCTACGGCATCTTCCTCAACATGCATTGCGAGTAATATAATACAACTGCTCTTTTCACAGATAATATGGGTGGCTCTTAAAGGAACCTTTGTGTTGTTGAGCAGACTCGCTCTACTTTGAGCTGGTGTATTTGGTGACGGCCTTTGTGCCCTCAGACACGGCGTGTTTGGCCAGCTCTCCGGGCAGCAGCAGACGCACGGCGGTCTGGATCTCTCTCGATGTGATGGTGGAGCGCTTGTTGTAGTGAGCGAGACGAGACGCTTCACCGGCGATGCGCTCGAAGATGTCGTTGACGAAAGAGTTCATGATCCCCATCGCCTTGGAGGAGATCCCGGTGTCGGGGTGAACCTGCTTCAGAACTTTGTACACGTAGATCGCGTAACTCTCCTTCCTGGACTTTCTGCGCTTCTTTCCGCCCTTGCCGGCGGTTTTAGTGACGGCCTTCTTCGAGCCCTTCTTGGGCGCAGACTTCGCTGGTTCAGGCATAATTCTTCAGTCAATGACACACAAAGAACTGTAGCTCTGTGTCACTGCAGGCGGGTTTTATCCACTGCTCTATGCTAATTTAAAAAGGGAGGAACGATACTCAGTGATTGGTAGGCTTCCTGGACCAAAACATAGAACGATTTCATTGGTCACATAAAACATTCCCTGAATTGTAGGTGATCCAATCAGAAGCTTTGAAATGTTAATCAAGCCCACCGACAACTACCACCCCCGTGACTTCATCTCTTTGTTTCATTTTCCCGCATTTTTCAGGAATGAATACATCGATTATTGTGAATCATATCAATTTTCTTTCGTACGTAGATGATTATCATTTTAACATTTATTTAAAAGAAGAATTAGCCTTGTATTATGTATATACAATAATCTACAAATAAAAAAGTTTATATACATAAAACAAACAATGAGCACTAACTTTCAAGAGTCTTTATAACGATGTTAAATTAACTACAAAGCAGAACTGTGAATATAGCACAGTAAAAATACAAATCACTTAACCCTCTATGCTTGGTATGGTGTTGCCTCCAGGAAACATGGTCTAATATGGTTGGTAGATTTGTTTGTTTGTTTGTTTGATAAAATGAGACCTAACCTATCTCATGATAGAAGACTCAAATACCAATCAATGAAAGTGCAAAATAGTGGTCATATGACCCACAGGGGCCATTTTGTGTCTTGTTTCAGCACATTGTGCACGCCTCCATATTTTCGCCAATGAAAATTTTTAATTTTTAATAATTAGAATTAAATAAATATTGAATCTGTAATGAACAGTAATTCACATATTATATCTACACATTGTCTGAACCTATAAAAGGTATAAAACACAGCTGGCAGTTGATGAGGGTGAGGAGGTTGTATCATGAGGAGGAAGATGAGGTTATAGTGAATCCAGCAAGGAGAGTAAAGATGAGGATGAAGATGGATATGGTAAACTTGATTTGATGGTTTGTTAATTTGTTCCACTGTGGTACAATGTTGCCTGAGATCAACAGCTTTTATTTTATTCTTTTAATTTATAATACATTAAAAACTAGATAAAATTGTTTTCTTAATCATCTGGTTAAAGAAAATGTCAAACGTTTTATTTGTCCAGTATTTATCTATTCTTTTCTCACTTATCAGTTTTTTCTATTTTTTTTCCTTTTAAAATAAATCATTAACTTACATTGCTATACATTTCAACAACTAGAATTTCGTTCTTTGTGTGTAAATGTGGGTGGCTCTTAAAAGAGCCGTTGGGTTTATCTTCTTCGCGGGTCTCTTAACCGCCGAACCCGTACAGAGTGCGTCCCTGTCGCTTCAGCGCGTACACAACATCCATGGCGGTGACGGTCTTTCTCTTGGCGTGTTCAGTGTAAGTCACAGCATCACGGATGACGTTCTCCAGAAACACCTTCAACACACCGCGGGTCTCTTCATAGATCAGGCCTGAAATACGCTTGACACCCCCACGGCGAGCAAGACGACGAATAGCGGGTTTAGTGATTCCCTGGATATTATCGCGAAGAACCTTTCGGTGACGCTTAGCGCCTCCTTTCCCGAGTCCTTTCCCGCCTTTTCCTCTTCCAGACATGTCGACAAATTCTCTTCAGCTCAAAACAACCGAATACAGAAAACATCACTGGAGAACACGGAATTATAGTCAGCTAGCGGACCTAGTTGAAACCACATTCACGGGCGGTTCTAGTAAACGTCACCAGTTACGCATTTCCATGCCCAGTTCAGTCTTTTGATGCCTTATAGTAGTGGAAATAAGTCGAATATAAGAAATATTTACAACTATATTATTTAATTATAAATAAATAAAGAAACCTTTAATGCATTAAAATAGACAAATCAACGTGGCATATAAATGTTCATATTTCAAAATACCATTATATAGAAATCTTTCTTAGAGTTATTGAGGTGGCTCTTTAAAGAGCCTTTGGGTTTGTGTGAGTTGTGGATTTAAGCGCGCTCTCCGCGGGCCAGCTGGATGTCTTTGGGCAAGACTGTCAAAGTCTGTGCTGCCTCTGCTTTCAAGGTCAGTGTTTTTTTGATCGTATATTTGTGCATCATATCCCATAACTGTTCAAAAAGTAATGTACTATGCCAACTAATTTTAAAAATTGAGATGCACATAGGAATCACAGGATGAAAATCCTTTCATAGCACAACTGGGGGATGGGGTGGGACAACAGTGTGTATAATAATGCAGCGTGTTACTACCTATATACTTTTGTTAGTTACTTTTTCAAAATACTAGGCTACTTACAATGTAGACTAGGGTAAAGCAAATGATTTTGATATATGCTGGGCTGATTTTAACTTAAACAATGATAGAATTTATGAAATCGCTCTGTCGGAGAGAAATTGGGTGGCTCTTAAAAGAGCCTTTGGTTTGAAGAGAAACTTCCGTCAGTTTACTTTCCCTTCGCGGGCTTCTCGGTCTTTTTGGGCAGCAGCACGGCCTGGATGTTGGGCAACACACCACCCTGAGCGATGGTCACGCCACCCAGAAGCTTGTTCAGCTCCTCGTCATTGCGCACCGCCAGCTGCAGGTGTCGAGGGATGATGCGGGTCTTCTTGTTGTCTCGAGCGGCGTTTCCAGCCAACTCCAGGATCTCAGCGGTCAGATACTCGAGCACAGCGGCCAAATACACCGGAGCTCCGGCACCGACGCGCTGGGCATAGTTGCCTTTGCGGAGAAGTCTGTGAACACGGCCGACGGGGAACTGCAGTCCGGCCCTGGAAGAGCGAGTCTTGGCCTTGGCACGAGCCTTTCCGCCGGTTTTACCTCTTCCGCTCATTGTGACTAGAATTTATTATCGATTAGCGAGACGATCAAATACAATGCTAATGCCCGTTGTGATGTGCAAAAGAGAAGTCTGAAAACTTTCCAGTCGGTGATCTTCCCTCCACGTCACGCTGTAGTATCATTTAATGCCGCTAGGCGTCCTTTTAAAGGGTGACTTTATTTTGATAGTGATGATGATGATGATAAAAAAAATGTGATTACTAGTTAAACGATTCGGTCTTTAAGTATAATAGCTGTAGTTTAATTAAATATGTAAACATATTATGTACTGTATAAATACTTGATCAAAAACATAACGTTCTTAAATGGGCCTTTTAAATTGCTTTCACTTGTAACAAAGTAAAGCCAATGTCACTTTTGACCAATGAAATACTACTCTTTACTATTAGTGGGTGGCTCTTGAAAGAGCATCTTTTTAATAAAACAAATAAAAAGTTCTCAAGTTTTAAAGATATGTCAAGAGCTGTCAAAATGGCAGCCACACCAAGTAAAGACGTCACAACGCCCAATCCTTATGCGTGACACTTGAGAGCCTTAAGAGTTTGCCAACATGGCTTTTGAGGCTGGACAAGCTGAGAGAGAAATACATTCTTAACAGATATTTTTGGTGCTCTTTGCTGCTTTCTTAAATAAAATTGAAGACAAAAAATGTCTTAAAGAGTCTCTGCCTTCTTGGGGCTCTTCATTGCCTTTTTGATGGCAGGTTTCTTCACCTTCCTCAGCGATTACTTAGCGGCAGCTTCTTTGCTGCTGCAGTTTTGCGGCAGCAAGTTTCTTGGCTTTAGGAGCCGCTTTCTTGGCTTTTGTTGTTTAATAACCATGAAACTGATATCAAAAAACATTGTTAGTCCTTTAAATTAATGTGGACAAAATACAAAATGCATTAAAACATGGCACAAAACTGGAAATAATAAAAGTCCAAGACAAGGCACTCAAAAAAATGAACTAGGGAGGTTGTGCACTTTACATAATATATTTATATATAGTTTACTTATAATAATTATGTTTTTTTTACTTTACATGTTTTTTCTATTAAGGTCTATATAATTGTGTCTCAACTTGACAGTACAAAATCCTAATGTGTTGTCTAAACACAAACCATTTATGTTAAGTAAAAAAAGTGTACATCCAGAGGGTGGCAGTATAGAGCGAGCCGACTGCCATTTTGCCCGAACTTAATTTTATTGTGTTCAATCTGCTTAAATCTACGAACAACTTAAGTTTACTTAATCCGTTTGTGTTGGATTACACGATTGATTTGTGTTGCCTTAACTGAAACTGGGCAGTACTTTTAGTTCCCAGCATGCTTTGCATATGGTTGAATTAAGAGAGAATAAATGTTAAAATTAAGTGTTATTTTATGTTTGTTTTTTTTTGTTGAGGAATTTAGAAAAGGGGAAGACTTGATAGTGAGTAATAGTGTTTAATGTTAAATTACATTGGAATTATTAAACCATTTAAATTACAGAGGGTTACCATTGTGGAGAAGAGTGGAGCATTTTGTTTGGCTGTCGACTGATTTCATTATTTTCAATTGCTTTGAATGACGGAGCATCTAAATCTTAGCATTCAAGATCTAAATCTTAGCATTCAAGATGTGCTTCTGCTAGCAAATAGCTAGCTAAAGTCTAAAAGTCTATCAATTTAATTAAATGTCACTGAATCAAATGAAATATAAATGGATGAATGAATATAATAAAATGCCTTTGAATCATGTCAGGAAGCCTTTAAAATTCACGTTGAGACTACTTAAATTGGGTAATTTAAAATTACATAATTCTATTATGTTGAAGTTATATGAACAAATTATGTTTGTTTAACGTAATCCAGTTATGTGGAACCTGTTGACAAATTAAAATTAATTAAAGCCAACATATGGGGTTATTTAATAAAGTAACACATACAACAGCAGGCATAGAGGTAACCGTTACACATATAACAACTGACAAAGTAACAAGTGAAACACAAGGGCTATAAATACACAGGGACAAACAAGCTTAACAAAGTAATTGGTAAACAAGATACACCTGGGAACAATCATGAACTAATCAACAGAACAAACTACAAAGGACTACAAAAAACATGGCACAAAACAGGAAATAATAAAATGCCACACAAGACATGAATCATGACACATGCTGTAAAGTATGGACTAGTGGTTCTTTGTAGGATGGGAACACTACAGAAAGATTCCGGCCAGAGAATCCTTTATCATCCTTTTATTTCACAGACCAGGATGCCAATATACAAGTTTGCAAGTGTATATGCTGTATGTGTGTGTGGTCTAAACAGAAAGAAAGAAAAAATAAATAATGAAATGATAATAAACAAATAAAGAATACTATAATATGCTTATTGTCATCATTCACAACAGTATAGTAATGAAAGTAATAGTTAACATTAATCCAGTACAGAATACGTCACTATATGCCCTTTTATGGTGTACTACTGCACCTTTAAGTGACTATGCAAAATATAACATTATATCGCTATAACGCTGTAGCATCAAATAAACAGTAAATGCTGCATCCGAACACGGAATTATATGTCTAAATATACAACACAAAGAGGTCTATATCGACGTATAGATGGGCTAATTATTTACCCACAGAAAACATATTGACTATTACAGCACGCTCTGTTTCATACACAAATCACACAGAATAAACGAGTTTGAATGAACATAAATAAAGTTCAAAGCATAGTATAAACATACAACAGTAGTCAGAACTTACTTGTTTTTCATAAAACGCACACAAAAGTAAAGGAAGGGGTCTCTGAGAATCCTCTCATCATCTCTGAGCGCGAATAACTGAGGCGCAAATATCTGAGGCGCGAATAACTTAGGTGCGCGCATTCCTTTCCAGGCGCAGTTCACGTGATGGAGCGCGAGCGCACTTAGGAAATATCAGCAGCTGAACAAATAGGCTTTCAGACAAAGCCGCCCCCAACTGTCCGTATGGCAGTTGAAAGAATAGGAGAAAGTCTATTTGTTAATCTCTTCTTCATCCTCGTCCTCCAAAGCTGGGAGCAGGATGATCCGGGCGACTGGACGAATGTAAGTACGGTCCTTCACTTGAACACTGATCGTTCGTACGCGTCCATCTGCTCCTGGATGAGTCTGGGTAATCCGTCCTACGGGCCATGACGCTCGAGGGAGTTGGGGATCCACAATTAAAACAACATCACCGATGGAGAGTGGCTTAACGTCTTTCCTCCACTTACTGCGTTCTTGTAGCCCTGGTAGGTAGTGGCTGATGAAGGATGACCAGAAGCGGTCAGCAATGACTTGACTGTGCCTCCAGCGTCTTCTCCCGAGGTCACTGGGGTCATAAACTGCTTGAGGAAGCGATGAGTCGTGTCGGCCCATTAAGAGGAGGTTAGGCGTGACCGGATCTGGATCAGAGGCATCTGATGACAAGTAGCCTAAGGGTTTCGCATTCATTATGCCCTCGACTTCTACTAGAATTGTCATCAGGACAGGTTCAGGAACAGTCTGATCTTTGAGGACAACACGAAGAGCAGTCTTGATAGACTTCACTTCCCTCTCCCATGTGCCACCAAAGTGCGGCGCACTTGGAGGATTGAATCGGAAGGATATCTGCTGTTCAGCGAGTTGTTCTCTCCACTCAGGTGCCATAGCAGCAACGGCCTCACGTAACTCTCTCTCTCCACCGACAAAGTTGGTACCATTGTCCATGAGGAGTTCGAACGGTCTGCCACGCCGAGAGATGAATCTCCTTAGTGACAGCAGGAAAGCATCTGTATCGAGGCTTTCCAATAGATCCAGATGCACCGAGCGAGTTGTCATGCATTTGTAGACAATGCCCCACCTCTTTTCAGTGCGGCGCCCGATCCGTACTTGGAAAGGCCCGAAGCAATCAACTCCAGTTGAATAGAACGGTGGCTTATGGAGTCGTAACCGAGCTGGTGGATAATCTGCCATCTTCGGTACATCAGGTTTTGCTCTCCATCGTCGGCACTCCAGACATGAATGCTGATGCTTTCGAATGGCCTCTCTACCACGGATAATCCAAAACCTGCGTCTGATCTCGGCAAGAACCCGTTCTGGCCCAGGGTGCAGTAGTGACTCATCAAAATCCTTGATGATAAGCTTTGTCACCGGATGGCTTGGGTCCAGGATAACTGGGTGGATAGTATCAGGGTCTAGTCCTTCAGCATGACTTAACCTGCCACCAACTTTGAGTAGCTCCGTGGCTCCTTCATATTCTGGTGACAGAGATGCAAGACGACTGTCTGACGGAAGAGTACGTCCAGCTTTGAGAGCCCTCAATTCTTCAGCAAAGCAGTCCTCTTGAACCTTCTGTAACATTAGCTTCTCTGCTTGCAGAAAATCGGCAGCGGAAAGGGGTACTGTAGTTTTATCCTCAGCCGCCCCGTGAAAGGAGCTAGCAGTTTCCTTAAGAAGCTCTTTCCAGCTGGAGAACTTACTGGGATCCGGAAGTGGTGTGGGCAAGATGCTGGACACAGTTCCAACGAAGGCAGACTTTCTAAACTCGGTGGTGTCTAGTTCTGGCTCAAATAAGGGCATTTTGGGCCATTCCCTTTCAGACAAACGGAGAAAATGTGGACCTTTGTTCCAGCGATGATCCTGTACCATCTCTTGCAGAGTGAGTCCGCGGGTTATATCATCAGCTGGATTACTTAGAGTGTCAACATACCGCCATTGAACAGGGTTGGTCAGGTTCTGGATTTCTGCGATGCGTGTTCCCACAAACACTTTATAACGGCAAGATTCTGATTTGATCCAGTGCAGTACAGTTGTGGAGTCTGACCAAAGAGTGATATGCTCAGATGGTACTGCAAGCTCTGTCTCGATCAATCTAGCCAACTGTGCGCCTGTAAGCGCGGCACTGAGCTCAAGCCGTGGAATAGACAGCAGCTTACGGGGTGCAACTCTCGATCTAGCAAACACGAAGGAGACATAGACTTGCTGATCATAATCTGTCGTCTGCATGTAAGCTACTGATC